TCATCCCCACTGGGGAGTCATTTCCTACTTTCTGTCTCTTAACGAGCACAAGTGCCCTAAGCAAAAATCTCTCTAAAAAAAATCAAAAGTAGACCCTCTTAGCACCTCTCTTCCCTCAAGGCATCTCCTTGCACTTTTTCCTTGTGAAAAGCCCTCCTTTTAGGACAGTCCTTTGATATTCCAGTCAAGAATACAACTCTGGGGGCCAGTTGGTGGCATGTGGATAAAGCACTGGACTCCCAAATAGCTGATCATAGTTTGAGTCCCAGACCTTCTTTCTCACTTTCTTTCTCCCTCTCTGGTCAAATAAAAAATTTAAAAAAATAATTGATTAAAAAAAAAAAAAGACTGCAGCTCTGCAGCTAACTGCCTGGATTCTAGTGTTGCTTCTGTCACTTTCTAGCTCTGCGGCCTTGGGCAAGTTACCACTCTGAGCCTCATTTTTCTCATCTGTAAAATGGGAGAGCTAATAGCTTATAGAGTGGGTGTGAGAACAAAGAGTTGAGCCTCTGAGACCACTGCTTGGCACTCAGCAAGTACTCTCTGAGCATGAGTGATCGCTGCCTGGGAAGGAGACTGGGGGACCTGGAAAGGGATGTATTCAGCCCTGGTCTCCAGTCCCAGCACAAGACCTTAGACCCAGAGTGCCCTCCCGCATCGTGCTGACCTGCCTGCAGGACACCCTCAGCGGCCTCTTCCACCTAAGCTCATTCTCATCGGTCTCTAGATCCGGGGCAGGCAAAACAGGGCAGACCAGCCCATCCTGCCTGACCTCAACTTGCTGCACAGTGTCCTTGAGCAAGACACTTTTTCTTTTTTTGTAAGGCTTTTTCTTAATGTTGCTGAGCTTCTGCTTTTTCCTTTGTAAAAACAAGAAGACTGAAACCTAACTGCTTGGGCCTGCCTTGTGGCCCAGTGATTAAGGGAGCTAGATTCCATGTGCCCTACTGTGGTTTGAATTCTGGCCCCAGTGGCTTGAAAAACACACGGCACGTGTGCACGTGGGTGCGTGTGTGCGTTGTGTGTGTGTCCAACATCCCAACGGGATGGAGAAATAGAGGAGAAGGATTATGGCCGGATTATGGCCATGACCACGCCCCATGAGGGTTGTTATTTCCCTCCGGTGGAGCATACTCACCCTCTGGCGATGTTAAAAAAATAAAAACAAAACCTATCTGCTAGAGATTGTGGGGATTACGCGCCCCACACCCAGTTGTTTTTCAGAGCACTTCATCCTCCCCAGGTGGAGTGTGGCCCAGTTCTGCCCCTCCCTGTCACCTTGCTCCACCCACTGCCAGGCCAAGCAGAGAGCAAGAGGCCAAGGTCTAGGATTCCTGGTCCCTTTGGCTCTAACACTGAAACTTTGGGCAAGGGACACACCCTACGTGTGAAGACGAGAACTCCGTCCCTGGCCGCCTGAGTCAGGCTTCACTGGGACTCCAGCGAGCTCTGTCACCTCAAATGACTCCCATTCTCACAAGCTCTCTGCCAAGCCGACTGTCCTGAGTCCTGAGGTGAAACTTCTGCAGAGAGGAAGGCCCAGAGGCCTGTGTGCTGGGCAGAGGCCTCAACTGACCGGGCTGTGGCTTCCCATTCCCTTTCTGTTCCCATTTTATTTATTTATTTTAAATTTGCTAGAGGGTGTGTGTGCTCATGGGAAAGAGAGAGAGAAAGAAAGCACCCCCTGTTGGGGATGGTCACGTCCCAACCCCTTCTCCTCCATCTCTCTCCTCTCAGGATTGTGGACACACATGCCCAGAGTGTTTTTCAAGCCTCAGGATCCAGGACTCAGACACAACAGTGGGCCGCGTGCCATGCCACCTGCTGCCCCATCACCCAACTCACTTCCTCCCTTGCACCATGACGGGAAGGTAGAGAAAAGTGAAGAAGTGACAGGATTGTGTCCTGAAGTTTTTAGCATAAGGAGAGCTAGAAGGTTCTATACTCGTCACCCGTGGTGACTGGGAGCAAGTCATTGGACTGGTGTCTCAATTGTCTTACTGTAAAATGGGAATAACGGAGCAACCTGTTAGTATGAGGTTACGCGAGAGAACACACATGGAGTGCTGTCCTGGAGCCTCAACAGAGAGGGGAATCGCTACACCCGGGTCACTGTGCCAGGGGCTGCAGGCCATTACTATGACAAGCATGGTTGCCACTCCTGTGTAGCTTATAGCGGAGGAGGGATGGCAGCTGCTGGATGGGAGGGAGCGCGTGGAATGATGGTGAAGGTAGCCAGGCCGCAATCCTGCTTCCACAGCTCACCAGCCTGGCCACCCTGTGCCTTGATTTCCCAGCAGTAAAACGAGCCTAAACCGGACCAGCCAGGAGCATGGTGGTTAAGGCATCTGCATTCCACATGTCCAACTTCACAGTTTGGGTCTCGGACCTGATGGCTTGAAAAACGTGCCAAGCACATGTGCATGTGTGCCCAAAACCCCAGGAGGAGACTGGAGAAGAAGGGATTGTGATGTGACATCCTGCCTGGGAGCTGATTTCTCTCCCTCCCCCCCTCTCCAGCAAGCACATATACCCTAGAAAAAAGAAAAAAGAAGAGAGACCAGCAGTTGGTGTAATGGCTATGTCACTGAACTCCCATGTAGTCGACTGCATTTTGAGTCCCGAACCCAGTGACTTAAACTCACGCTGGGCGCATGTGCGTGTGTGCCCAAGATCCTGAGAGGAGAATGGAGGAGAAGGGAGTGCAGTGTGGCCATCCCCCTTGAGGGATTCTCGCTTTCTGTCTGTCTCTCTCTGTCTTTCTGGCGAGCACACGCACTCTATAGACGCGCCCTATAGCAAAAACCTCTCAAAAAAAAAAAAAGAAAAAAAATAGCCTGACTTACACCCACTTCACTTATGACGGTGACAATTGGGGGAGCTGACACATTTAGCAAAAACATTTCCAGTACCCACTGAGTGGTCAGGAGTCCACACGTGAGTGACCAGTGTGATCAAAGTGGCGTAAAGCAGAAAGAAAGTGGCGGTGGGGTGTGTAACAGGAAGCGCAGACAGAGAGGGTGCTGACGCCGCCAGCATGGAGGAAGAAGCCAGTTCCTGGAGGAGGGAGGTCCCCAGTTGAGAAAGAGCAGGGCATGCTGGCAGGAGGAAGAAGGGGTGAAGGGTGAAGACAGGGTGTGAGAGAGATGAAGCGGCTCAGCTCTCCGTTTAAGGGATTAGGACACTGGAGGTACTATCTAGAGTTTTAAGGGAGGGAGTAACATGATCAGGTATGCAGCTTTGAAGGGTCCAGATGCCTTTGTATACGTGCAAACATAAGACAAGTATGTCTTATTTATTTGTTTATGTATGTATGCATGGGGGTGGGGTGGGGGTGTGCGCTTTCCAGAGGGAGAGATAAGAGGGAAAGTGAGAAAGCACTCCTCGTGGGGGGGTGGTCGTGCTGTAATCCCTGATCTTCTTTCTCCTTTCAGGATTTTGGGTTCACGTGCCCAGTGCACTCTTCAAGGTGCCAACTCCAAGACTCAAAACAGGACAGCTGACCACGTGAGATCCAGCTGCCTTAACTACGCCACTGGCTGCCCTTGTCTTATTAACCCCATGGTGGGGGTGGGGGGGGTCAAGCAGATGGTGGATCCCACATGAGTCTGGGTTTGAGTTCCAGACTCAGAGGCTTGAAAATCACACCAGGTGCGTGTGCACATGTGTGCATGTCCCAAATCCCAAGAGGAGAATGGAGGAGAAGGGATTGTGGCGTGGCCACCCTCTCTGGGGGTGCTTTCTCACTTTCCCTGTCCCTATCTCTCTGTCTCTGTCTCAGGCGAGTACACATGCCCTATAGGAGGAAAAATGACCCCCAGCCGCTAGCAGAGATAAGGGTAACTCTTTGCAGAACCCCATTTCCTCTCTGATTTCTTAGCCCCACAGCTTCTCAGTCTGGCTCTCTTCCATAAGTGGCCTAGGGGGAGATTTAGGGAAGACTGAGACTCAGGCCTCAGGGCACCTTCAGTCTTTCCCCCCTACACAGCCTTTGTGACCCAGCCGAGCCAGGCAAGCCAGGGTTTGAACTCTTAGGCAAATACTGTCTCCCAGTGTAGTGACTACTCAACCGTACATTGCAGCGAGCTAGCCGAGTGCCCGGTTCTTGGTGTGTTCTCGGTAAATGCGCACGTACAAGCTTTACCTCTTTCCTCTCTAAACGTAATCTCTTCTTGCCCTCACAGGCAGGCTGGGAGGGCCAAAGGGCGAGGAAAGGGGCTGTGTAGCTCGGAAGCGGACAAGGAAGCGGAGGCGAAAGTGGGCTTCTTATTTACACTATTTGCAAGAATCTGTTCTGTGCCCCAACTCAGTGTTTACTGGGCAGAGGCTTGGGACGGCGTCTCCCCGGCAATTACCAGTAACCTGGAACTCGGGAAAAGGGTCCCGAGGGCCGCGGCGCTGCGCTGACGGCTCCTGGAGGGCAGAGGGCACTTAGCTGCGCGCACGTGGGAAGGAGCCTGCTTTCCGCGGGGTGGGCCAACCCGCATTTCCCTGCCGCCTGATAAGCTAAACCCAGAATGGGCCCGAGGCGAAGGTGCGTTCCTGCAAGCCTCGAGGATTAAAGGGAGCCCTGGAGGCGGCGATTGAGAAAGTCCACGGTCCTGGCTCTCTCAGGTGTGTGGGCAGGGGGTTACGTACATGCCCGCAGCTGCTCTAATGAGGGTGCCCCCCACCCACGCTCCTCCGAAGGGACACTCCATCATCCTCCTACCCATTCTCCCTGCGCCCAACCCACCTTCGCTCACGCTCCGGGAGCCTCCAGGGCAGCGGGGAGGCGTAGTCCGCAGGCGGCCCGCCCCTTTGATGTGCGCCGGCGCCGCTCTGATTGGACAGTCGCTTGTGACGTGCGGGGACTGCGGTGGGCCGGGTGCTGCAGCCGCCGCCGGGCCCGCGCGGGCCGCGGGCCC